TGCCCATGGGCAAAGAATAAACCGTCCATGCTAATTTATGGGAGATTAGGCATTCCCTCATATGGAAGTGTGGAATGCCTAAGTGTGAATGCCAGCTACTCCCAGACTCCGATAAGGGCGCTTATATGAGCATCGGTAAATTATATCTTGCAAATGACAAAAGCTTCCAGTCAGTAATATTAGTAAAACTCCCTCTCTACGATGAATCCAATACATAAAATAATCAGCACCTTTGACTGGTGTTTAGCTTTCTATGATGCCTAAATATTGGAAAAACACAACACCCATCCTAAAAGGGGATTTGCTACAGGCTTCACCGTTGGGGCAATTTGCCAAAAGTTTCAAACGGGTTAATATTACAAAAAATGTGAAAGGGTGTTAAGATATTTAGCAGATACTTACTTGGGAGTTCCCATCTTCATTTTCTTGGTTCTTGACAAAAACACAATCTTTGTGGGGGCGACCCCGTCTGAATGGCTCTGGCGCAAGGCAACGGTTAATTCATATACCGGCCGCTAAGAAAGGGTGGCAATTACACTAATATCCCTGCCTAATTCAGTTCCACGTCGCAATTCCTGGGGTTTTTCAATAAGGGCTCGCTGGTTATGGTTTTCTTCATTTCCTTTCTCATCATAAAAATTTTAAAATGTTATTATTATTATTATTATTTTTTTACGTAACTAACAAAAGGAATTGGATCATTAAAATATGAATAATGCTTTTTACGGTTGTTCACTACTGCAGTCGTTATATGTACCATACATGTAGCAATTAGTAATTTATTGTATAAAGTAATAAAAAACTGTCACATTAATGTATCAAAATCACTAATCGTCACATGTATATTATATAAGGGACTTTGACAAAACTTTAATAATATTAAAAAAAGGTATTGTTTGCCACACCTGAATGAATATTACTCAAAATTCGACGTAAGAAATATTGAAATCCGCCAAATAAAATAGGAAAAACAGAGATATTATTTATCAAAAACGAATGTAATGTTTAAGAAAGACTCGAAACAAATAGTATTCCAAACAAAATCTTAATTCTGTAGATAAATATGAATAAAACTAAAATAATGAAATGTTGATTTTAACAGTGACACGTAGAATTTTAGGTTAACACTTCAAGCAAAGTGACTTAATGGTAGTTAAACAAATTTAAATCACTACTATTGTAGAAAAATTACTTCAATGATCATTCTAAAATTTTTAATAAACTTTAGTGATCGTTGTTGAAATTTACTTCGCACCTTTTGTTAGGGGTGGGCGCGGGTCGATTTGATTCGGTTCTTAAGAGAATCGGAACCAAAATTTTCGGGTATCTAGTAAAAGGAACCGTCGGGTCCAAATATAATTATGGAACCGTTCGGGTTCGGTTCCGTTCGGTTCAGTTCCGTTCGGTTCTGTACTATAATTAAATTTTTTAATATTTATAACAACATTATATAAAAACAACTAATGATACATTCAATGATTTTGAAATGTTAAAGACTAGTAAACTACCTTGTTCAAATGATCACTACAATCAAAGTTTCGGTCGACGGAGGTCACAACTTCGATCGGAGGTCACAGTGTCGGTCGACGATTGTATAGGTTTTGGAATATTAACGAGGCTGCGAGAGTGAGTACGAGAGTCGAGACAATGTTATGCACTTTAGTGTAGGTGTTTAAGGTTATTTAGTGGATTGAATCTTGTTGGGCTAAGAAATGAAATAATAAAAAGGATAATTGGCCCAAAAATTAAAAAATTAGAAATGAAACAAATTATTGGGCCAAAAATTTGGATTTAGAAATTGTTAATTTGTTAATTTGTTTAGAAAAATTAAAATTAAAATAATTTAATTTACTCAATATAAAAAAAAATTAGAAAGATTCGGTTCTTATTCGATTATTCGGTTCTTGGTCTAGAACTGAACAGTACCCATCGGTTCTCAGTTCAAATACCCGTTTGGGTATTTAATTTGACAAGAACCGTCGGGTTCGGTTCGGGTTTGGTTCGATCGGTTCGATTCGCCTAGCCCTACCTTTTGTAGCCTTTCTTTCATTGCATGTCCTTGTACATACAACGAGTATCAGGATATTTATAGACACACATGAAATCATGGAAAGTAGATCATGGAAAAGGGAATACATATAAAATTATTATAATGATGACTCAAAGCAATAGCCAATTTTTGCGGTTAATTGATGGGGAATTTGGTGAGGTAGCCGGGTTGTCCAATAATTTTGAATAAATAGCCTTTGACCAAAATAAAAAAGAGAAAAAAAAATCAGAATAGTTTAATTAATAAAATGACCAAACTATCCTCCACATTTGAACACAAAAATTCTTCCAAATTCCCTCATTCACCCGTCTTCTTCTCAGGTAAACTCTATTCTCCCAAATTCAAGAATCAACGTCTCTCTTCTCCTTCCTCTTTGTGGAAATCTCACGAAATATACTACAAATTTGTGGAAATTCATCTTCTTCACCTGATCATCTTCTTCAATTTTAAGTTCTCAAAATTATAATCACCTATTTTTTTCTCTTCAATAACCATTCTTACTATTCTAAAATTATATTTTTTATTATATTCTTCACTTATTTTGGGTATCTTTTGAGTATTTGAAAAAGGATTAGGTTAGCATATCTTTTATATTGAAAAATCGCATTTACATTCAAAGAGAGAGGGAAATATGTTCTTAGAAATCCCATCTTTGTTGTATTTTTATTATTAAATATAGTATTAAATAATATTTAGTTGGTATTATTTTCATATTTAGTGTGTTTTTTGTGTTATCTGCAACTATTGAGTGTAATAACACTCCAAATGCTATCTGAAATATAGGACATCACTTCAGTCATTATCTATAAGGTAAAACGACATTATAGTCGTTATCTATTATAGTTTGATTTTTTTCAATAAAATAACTCTAATAATGGACTCACTAACGTATATAACACAAAAGATTGATTAATCACAAAAAACGATTAAAATGGCATAACATTTATATTATTGGGATGGTGAAAATATAAGTTATCAGACTTATATGTGTCGATTAAATTAATAAACATATCTATCAACTTTTGTACGTATCATGTACATATTATAATATAAATAAGTTTCACTTATTATTTTTCAAGAAACGAATAGACCGTGACTACTTATACTCATATTTATACACGTAACAGCACAAATGTCATTTCCATATCCAGTAACAACAATTGTGTCGTTCTGAAATTTTCACCTATATTCAATTTTTTCAACAAAACAATATTTAATAATGGACTTCCTGACATATGTAATATGGAAAGTTTGACAATGTTATAAATAACGTAAATGAATTGCACTATTAATTCTCATGACATAGATAAGATGTAGTTGCTTTTACTCGTTTTTATACGTATAGCCCTTGTTAGAGCCTAATTTTTTTTTTTTTTTTATCAAAATGCATTTTTAAATAGTAATTTGATCTCATCTTAACTACACGATTTTCAATAATATTATACGCAAATTTAAAACTTTTTCTTATTTTTTAACCACATATTCTCCATCATAACACTATTACAAAAATCATTTTTTGAAAAAAAAAATGGCTCTAAGAACCCTATAATGGCACAATGGCTGTTTTCATATTAATAACGGTCTTTGTGTTGTTCTGTTGATTTTTCCTACACTTTTGTTAATGTCTTTTAAGTTAATTGTGCTCATT